ACATCACACTGGACTTTGTCATAGTCAAATTGAGTTAAAAAATTGAATGTGTCATAGTCAGAATGTGATAATATTGGAATGTGTCATAGTTAGAATGTGATAATATTGGAATGTGTCATTGTCAGAATGTGATAATATTGGAATGTGTCATAGTTAGAATGTGATAATATTGGAATGTGTTATAGTCAGAATGTGGACCGCAATAATAGAAAATAGATTTTATTTTAAAAAAGCTACTAAATTGTAATTTTTAGAAATATTTAAAAAGAATAATAACTGAAGCCTTAAACCGATATAATGGGTTGAACCATTGAAATATCGTTACGCTCCATATATTAATTTGATTTTACGTCTATTTAAGGCTTTTGTTGTTGGAGGCTTACACTAGTCGATTACAAATATCGTACTGTTTTAAAATTTCACCGCTCCCGATTACAAACGGAGCCTCACATCCTGTTGTTCGCATATTTCGGTTTATTCATTTGAAACTTCCCAATTTAAAGACTTTAATAAAACGGTATTAAACTACCTTCTCACCAAAAGAAAGTTTCTTGCAATGTATCAAACGTGTGCCATCCGTTTTCAAATTATTTTTTATACTTCATCATAAAAGCATGACATTGTAATACAGGGAATTAAATTTACTCATTAAGTGTTTGATTGCCTCATTCTTTAAACAAAATATAGTTATTAGCATATATTGTGATGTATTGGATTTCATGTATGTTGAGCTGGGCAAAATGAAACGTAAAAATGATAACTATTAGAAAATAAAAAAAAAATATAAGAATTTAACGTGGGAGGGCAAATAGTGGAAGTGGTAACACTTATTATTAAGGCGAAAGTTTTTGAGCTTTCTTTAGATGAACTACTTTTTATCTCTTTTTAATATCAGAATCATAAACTATCTCTCCCACCTATCTTTATGCAATTTTTTTAAACACTTTTTACAATGAAAATACAACAGAAAATCCTCTTTTTTAAAATTATTTAAGTACTTTTTAAAATGGGATTTTGTATCATGCCAATTCCATTTTAAATACTAGTTTTGTAAAATTAAGAGGTCTAAATCGTCAATTTATCTCTGAATTGTTTTTAATTGTATTTAAAGATATGATAAAGTATAACGAAGAAGCAATTTAAAATTTTAAATTGTTTAAGATTCCAAATAAAAATTTGCATCAACTAAATGTTGGGAAATTTTTACTTTTTTTTTGCACGATTTCCCAAAGATAAATTCAAACTTTAAATAAATATATGCTGTTTTTTTTTGTAAACAACTCATGCCTTCTTAACTTAATTATGGATTTCTTATACGACTTATCAAAATAAACAGCATTTGAAAATCCTCAAAATGTATAGACCTTTCTACAAAACATTACTTTTTCTTTTTGACTCATGTAAAAACTGGAAATATTAAGAAAATGTATTTATAATCAATACTTGTTCCATTGTGTTCTACATTTAAAATAAAGATTGCAGTGCTTTTTTATGATGGACATCTTTTTTTGGAAGTTTGAAAAAAAAGGATTTAGTTATTGAGTAGTTTACTCAAAAACAGTTTTAATAAAAGATAAAACCATGGTGTCATTTAGTAATCTTGTTGCCGTTAATGGATATGAGTTTTGGGTTGTGGCTAAAACCCATGCCGATGGTTTTAGCTACGCGGCCCTAAGAAAGCCGCTCCTAGGCGACCGTTTCGTCCCGGCTTTCGTCCCAACCGAAAAACTCCCTGGGTGGTGAGGGTGGTAATGCAACACCTTCCCTCCAGAGTGGAAGCAAAACCGCCAGAACCCAAGGAAGAGTGGACCGCGAACGCTTTAAACGCAGCGTTTTCGGTCGACCGGACGTCCCCCAGACCAGGAAGGGGAGGTTCCCGGCGTGCCACCGCATGTTCTGGCGGCGGGGAGACCCAGCGTGTGGCCTGTGTGAAGGCGTGCCGGGGAGGGGGGTTATTAAGAGGTCGCGCTCGACGACCCATCGACGCCATTTCTCAATGAGATGTATTAAGTAATCTAAAAAAAATAAATATTTGTCGTACATAACAAGGACACCCAGAGCCATCGCTTGACTTTCCGAGCCCCCCCCCCCACCGGTCATGTTAAGGTTTCCTCCTTCCACCTCCTTACATTCATTTGATCATTTAAAAATTGTCCACATCACAACTTGAAGCCCCTAAAATATCGGAGGCCCTTTGGCCGCTCAAGTGAAACCAACAATTTTTAACTAGCATCTGCCCGCTTCTCTCCGATTAAGTGTAGAATAATGCAATGTAAAATTTACAATTGTGCTAAAGTCCATTCTTGCATTTTAAATGTATCAAAAAATTTCTGGGGATAGTAAAGATTTAAGGAGAACACTAAGCTGCATGAAAAGCACACCCTTGAGGGCATCAGCTGGAATTAGTTTAGTTCATGTTGGGTTACGGCCAAGCTAGAGATGTACCTGATCTTTAGTTTGGCTAATTCTAGCGCTCCCGCCAATGACCCCTCCAAATTTCCATCACGCAAATCAAAATGACAGGGCGGGGTTGAATCTACGCTTGTGCCAAATGATTACCATGGGGCTTGGCACAACCGGAGTGAATTCGGTTTACGAATGATGCTAGGTGAAATGTATATCCCCAGACGCTTGAAAAGTTCCATCCCTAGATCAAATAGTGTAATAAAAACAAAAACTCTGACTTCAAGCATACTAAAAAATTAACCTCTTGAATTTGAAATATTCAAAAATGTTCATGGGAAGCTATCCCCAGACTCTCGCCCCCCCCCCCCCCCCCCCCCCCCCCCCCCCCCCCCC